AAAAAAAAAAAAAAAAAAAAAAAAAGTGAAGGGGCAGTCACAACCTCAGATGCTTTCCTGGCTATATTCAGATCCTCCCTGCAAATGTGTTTCTGCCTCTTCTCCACAGATTAAAACTTACAGATGAAAAAGGAAAGGGTTTTTTTTTATTTTGGTTGGTATTACATTGCCACTATTGGCAGTGCAAAGGAAGATTCAAGCGTTCCCACCCACAGTGTATAGGAGGAAGTACTGATGTCACCACACCCTGCAGCCCTCTATCCAGACTGGCCAGGTACGCTGCATAATGGAATCATGATCCTACTGGGCACGATCGAGTGCCTACCTTGGGCCGCTTTGCATGTATTCTTTAATTTAGTCTGTAATGTGGTCTTCTTTGAGAGGGACCATCATTCTCTCCATTTAATAGATACATGAGAAAACAGCTCCAGAGAGAGAAAGCACACATCCATGATTGCGGGAAATGGCAGAGTGAGGTATAGGTGTGGTCACCCAGGTAGGCTGACTCCAGGGTCTATTCTGGCAGTGAATATCATTGGAATTTGTGGGAATCAGGTTGCAGATCTTGCTTCTGTAACTGACTGGCAGGATGACCTGGGGGAGGTCAGGCGAGACGTTGAAAGCCAGTGTACTAGTGGATTACTAGGGACTCAGGTCCTCTTATACCTCAGTAGGGAGACAGAAGGTGAATCTCAGGAGAGAATGGAGTGATCAAGACTGAACGCTGGGTACACAGAATTAAGAATTACCTAGCATATTAAACAACAGCAAGCCAGATTCAAATGGTGTACTTTAAATTGTTTGGTTGTGTACAGAAGCTGGGTATGGTGGCTCATGCTTGCAATCCCAGCTGCTCAGGAGGCTGAGGCCAGGAGTGTCACAACTTCAAGGCCAGCTTGCACAACTTAGTGAGAGCCTGTCTCAAAATGTTAAAAAGGTCTGAGGATGTGAGCGGGGTGGAACCAACTCTTTCTACCATGTGTAAGGCCCTGGGTTCAATCCCCAGTATTGAAAAAAATTTGCTTGGTTGTGTATACATGTAGCTTTCTTATTTTGGGGCTTTGATGTGCTGATTGGATATTTGACTTGCTGATGACTCACTATATAGGTTCAGGGAGAATGAAACAGGAGGGAGAAGGAGAGACAGAAAATTAATGTGGTTTTCCCAAATTTCGCAATTAATGATGACAAGTATCTGGCACACATGTCACTTGGCCTGATCCTTGTCCTACACAGACTGGGGAATCCTTAACTCAGTGCTCTGAGCAGCCTTTCCTGATTGATCCTGGAGCTTTCTTCTCTATTTCACAGACTTCCCCTTTCATTCCTCTGGAGTACAGTCAAGGAAGTAACAAGTGGTGCAACAGGAGACCTTTCTGCTTAGTGCCCTTGGGTGGTATCTTAGACAATACCTCAGGGGCTTTTTAAAGATTATGTTTTCTTTCACTCTCCTGTTCTGTCTTTAATGTGCATCTTGGAACTGGGAATGAGGCCAGGAGGAAGGTGCATGTCAGGAGAGTGGTCAGTCTTCCAGAGCGAGCCAGACTCTTAGAAATCAACTTGTCCGTTCCTTCTAAACGACTGACAACAAAACTGAGGTCCACTCAGAAAGAATGGCTTGCCCAGCACCACACCGTGTGCTTGTTTTCTAATGCAGCTGTAACAACATATTGCTTGAAGGTAGCATTTTTTTTATCTTATTGAGTTTATTGGTACTTTTTAAGTATATGGTATAGTTATATTCATCATCGGGATCTTGTACTAAAGGTAGCAGTTTTAAACATTTTAAACTCAGTTATAGTTCTGTAGCTCAGAGTCCAGTATGAGTGTCAGAAAAATAAAATCAAGGAGTCATGAGACTGCTTTTCTTTCAGGAGACACTAAGGGGAAAATCTGTTTCTTGCTTCTTTGAATTGTTGGCAGAATTTACTTCCTATGGTTGCAGGCCCAAGGCCACCATTTTCTTGCTGGCTATAAACCCAGGACCATTCTCTGCCTCTGGAGCCTGCTCCTTCCTTGGCTCTTAGCTCCCTTCCTCCATCTTCCCAGCCAACAGTGGGGAATCAACCTGTCTCATGTCCCATCTCTCTGACCCCTTCTGCCTTCCACTTCACTTTTAGGGGTGTATGTGATTAATTGGGCCCAACTAGAAAATCCACGGTAATCTCCCGTGTCCGCGTCCTTAATCTACATCACATCTAAAAGGCCCCTTTTGCCTGTGTTCTCATGGCTCTGCTTTCTGGGTTATGCTTCCTTTTTCCATACTTGAGGTTCTGGGGCCCAGGAGATAGGAATCTTTGGGGGGCGTGCTCTTCTGCCTACCATATGCACGAGGCACTCTTTGGGGGAATGACTACCTCCAGGGCTTAGCACCACCACCACGCTGGTGCTCCTGCAGCTGTGTCACTGAGCCCCCGAAGTGTCCCTTTCGAAGAGTCTTCTTTGTCATCCCAGCACACAGCAGCATTTAGTCCCTGCAGATAACGGCGATGGATGGCAGTGTCTCAAGCAGGATGCTGTGGATTTGGCCTGGATCTTTTCTTCCGCTGGCTCTCTCTTGGTTTTTGAGACTCTGTGATTGGCTTTCAGATAGTACATGTAAACTCGAACAGCTTTCATCCCCTTGAAACAAATACCTTGGTGTTTTTCCATTTTTCCTAGCCACAGAAGAGCAGGTAAAAATTTAGGGTCTTCTACTCATTAGAAATTTTGGAGGAAGAAGGGGTTTGTTGGGGTAAA